TATAGCTATTAACAGCCCTGAGAGTCCACTTTGAGTATTTGACCTATAAAAAAAGGGTACAAATGGCAGATACTTGTCCTTCCCTTTCTTCTCCCTGTCAATACCACTTTCCTTTCCTTTTTTTTTTTTTTTAAGTTTTTATTTATTTACTTGACAGAGATCACAAGTAGGCAGAGAGGCAGAGAGAGAGGGGGAAGCAGGCTCCCCACCAAGCAGAGAGCCCGATGCGGGGCTCGATCCCAGGACCCTGGGATCATGACCCGAGCCGAAGGCAGAGGCTTCAACCCTCTGAGCCACCCAGGCGCCCCCCACTTTCCTTTTCCTTAAGGGACTAGGTTGACTAACCTGTTTTGATCTACTTCTGTATTCTCTTACACTCACGATGGATTTCCAAAGCCGTGGGAGATGGTGTATGTGGGCTCTCTCAGAGTGACACAGGCTGGAGAGGCTACCAGGGGTGGGGTGGGTGAGTAGTTGGAGGTAAGGCAAAGGCAGTCTCGTGGCAAAGTGTCAGGCCCAGACACCCTTCTTGCCCAGCTGCTTGGGAAAGGGAGGATTAGGAGAGTCCACTGCTTGGGACAGGGCGTGGAGTCATGGCCTTCTGCTTGCAGGTGAAGGAGGAGTGCCGCCTGCTCAATGCCCCCCCTGTGCCTCCCCGGGGTGGCAATGGTAGCGGCCGGCTCTCGGGCAGCCCCCCGGTGCCCCCGAGGTTCCCCAAGCTGCAGCCTGTCCACTCACCTAGCTCCAGCCTCTCCTACTACTCATCTGGCCTCCAGGATGGGTGAGCCCCTGCCTTCTCTTGGTGCTGGGTCCTCCTGAGGGGGACTGAGGAGGGGAAGGGCCGGAAGAGGGGAGCCAGAGCCAAGGGAGGAAGCATCCAGGCCTGCCGTTCAGAGCGGATGGGCCGCTGCTTTGCTTTCCACCTTCCTGCTTCAGCTTGTTCCTGACCAGTGGATGGGAACCCTGCTCAGGTTCCCTCCAGCCTGGGATCGGCCACAGGGACTGCTCCTTGTTCTATTAAAGTGTTTATGTAATTCAGTTTAGTTTAATTTTTCCTGGGGTGGGAGAGGCTGGAAGACAGACACGGGCAGTCCCGGGTGGCGGGGGCGGGTCTTGGGCCTTGGGGGCTGGGGCGCGAGCAGGCATTCCTGAGATCCGACTGGCAGTCTCTGGCCCGGCAGAGCAGTGTGCTGTGTCCTAGGAGCCTGTGGCGTTTCCCTCTTGCACTGGCTTACCTTTCCGCGTGTGTCTCGTTCTCTGCCCACAGGACAGGTTCCCGCAGCGGCAGCGGCTCTCCGTCCCCGGACGCCTACTCCCTTTATTGCTACCCATGCACCTGGGGAGACTGCAAGGCAGGCGACTCGTCCAGCCGCCCATCCCCGGGACCCCCGCCCTCGACCACGCAGCCCAGCCAGGCCGCCCGGGCCCTTGCAGAGCCTCTGAGCAGTCGAGCCACCTCCCTCCTGGGGGCTGACACCCCCGTTCAGGCGTACCACAGCTGCCCGCCTCTGCTCAAGCCCTCGCACCCCCAGAAACGCTTTGCTCCATTCGGAGCTCTCAACCCCTTTTCGGGGCCTGTCTACTCCTCAGGCCCTTCAGCGGCCTCCTCTTCTGGGCCCACCACCAACTCGGGTCCCCTGGCTACCTCCAGCCCTGCCTTTTCTCCAGGCCCAGGCTCCCCAGGCCAGGCCTATTCAGCTGCTGCCCCCTCGTGCCCCACCTCGTCGTCCTCTTCCTCCGAGTGGCAGGAGCCAGCCCAGGAGTCCTTTGATCCCTTCGAGCTGCGCCAGGGCAGTTCCCCAGAGCCCGAGCTGTTGCGCTGTCAGGAGCCCAGAGCGGTGGGGGCTCCCTGTCTTTTGCCACTTGGACCCCCCAAGGCCTTTGAACCGGAAGGTTTGGTGCTGCGGCAGGTCCCCACCCCGCTGTCACCAGTGGGCCTGCAGGGGCCTGAGGCAGGCGGAGCACGGCTCCTTCTGCCCCAGGGACGCCTGGAAGGGCCTCCTGCCAGTCCCCGGGAGGGGGCCGCAGGCTGGGGAGGCCGGGATGCCTCCTCCTGGCAGCCCCCTGCTGACCTGTCTGCGCTCTCCCTGGAAGAAGTCTCTCGAAGTCTGCGTTTCATCGGTCTCTCGGAGGACGTGGTGAGCTTCTTTGCCCGAGAACGCATTGATGGCAGCATCTTCGTGCAGCTCAGCGAGGACATCCTGGCCGATGACTTCCATCTCACGAAGCTGCAGGTCAAGAAGATCATGCAGTTCATCAAAGGCTGGCGGCCCAAGATCTGAGCGTCCCGGCTCGCGGCCGCACAGCCGGGGACGCTGGCGTGGAGGCCCCGGGGGTTAGCCACGGGTCCGCGGGGGGCACAGTGGGCCCAGAGCAGGTCCTCCTGCAAGGAGAATCCGTGCCAAGACTGAGGCAGCCAGGCGGCCCCTCTGAGGGAATCCAGGGGAGACACACTTGGAAATGGGGGCGTCTGGCCTTTGTGCTGAGAGGCACCGGTGTGCAGCTGGGCCCGGGGACACATTGCTGCGATTCCCACGGTGGCGGGGTGGGGTGTCCGAAGCTGGCCGGCATGGTGACCTGACATCCTCCCCCGCCCTTATGGAGAGCGTCAGACATCTTGCACCTCTCAAGCTTGTAGGATCAGGTTAGAGACAAGGGCAGACGGGCCATCATTTAAGCACAAATTCCCCAAGTGCCCCCGCCCCCCCGCCCCGTGCTCTGTGGGCTTTGGGCCTTGGCCGCCCCAGAGTCTGGGGGCCCTTCCTTTCCCCTTGTATGAACTCGGGCCCCGGCCCTGAGCACAGGTGTGTCAAGCCTGTGCCGCTGTGCCTCAAGGCTCTGGCTCAGGGCACTGGTTGGCGGGGAGGACTCCGGAAGAGCACAGCTCTGCTGCTGACCCGCTCACCTAGCTAGGGAGGCTGATGTTCCAGACGTCTCTAGCGCCCCCGCTGCTGCCTTCCGTCCTGCGAGTTGGGTCCGGTCTGAGGTTCTCACTCCCTGGAGAAGCGGGTAGGTTGAGGTCAGCTGCTCCTGGATTGTAGCGGCAAGTGGCCTCCAAGCACTCCCACTTCTGCCCGGCTCCTGCCCCCTTCGCTGGACTCCTGCAAACATCTGGTGTCCTTCTCTGGTCTGTCACTGGCACAGGTGGGATGGTTGGGAAAGAGAAAGCACCGCAGTTTGGGAAAACCGGCTTTCTCCCTGCTCCTGGAGCCCAGGCCTCCTGCGCTTGTACCTATGCCTGTCAGGTCTCTGGGGCCTGGATCTGGGCATGGCAGTCTGCTGGCACCGGGAGCAGCTGGCCGCTGTGTCCAACCATCCGGCCCCCCCACCCCCCACTCTCCCGGTCCCCCTCCCTCGGGGCTGCACTAACTCTCCTCACGCCACTAGTGGCAGGCCCCAGCCGGACCAGCCTTCTCTTCTGCCTTACCTAGCCTACCTACCTAGATATTTATTTGCTCCATTTTCCTCTGAAGTATAGTGAGGCCACGCTGGTGCTCGCGCCCCGAGCAGTCGCCTCCGCTCCGGGCCAAGGGGAGTCCGGAAGTAGAGCACACACGCTGTTGCTGAAGCGTCGGGCTTCCCTGCCGATCACTCTGTGAATCCTCAAGGACTTGTGAAATAAATGCTAGAGCACTGAACAGGAGTCGGGGGGCAACTCTGGGTGTCGACCCTCTTCTCTGGAGGGCCCAGGGGACCGGCAGGTACAAGGCATGGGCCTCCAGGCAGGGGAGGACTTTGGAGTGGGGTGTGCGTGTGGCCCACTCCTGGGTTCCCTTCCGAAAGCCCCTCCTCAGCCCCTCCCCTACAAGAACCTTCCATCTCCCACCAGCGTTTCAACGGAATTCCCAGTGCTGCTGAGTGGAAAGCTCCCTGTCCTCAGCCCGGGCCCAAGTTTAAGTTCCTGCACTGACCAAATGCCCACCTGACGCCCTCCCAGAGCCCCCATTTAGAATCCCGTTAGTGGCTCTGCGGAGAGCATCCGTTCCCTCTTTCCTACTGGTCATCTGAAAATCCCAGCACACAGGTGACTCGGGTTTTGGGTCTGGCTTCGCAGCACCCGTAAGTGGTCCGTGGAATCGGCGCGAGGCTCTCTGTCCACGGGTCCCAGCAAAGCTGGCGCCAGGGGTCGGCGAGGCGCCGGCACGTGGAGCAGAGGCAGGAGCAGTGGGTCACGGCGTGCTGGGACTTCGGTTCCGCATATGTGCAGTGTGGGCCCCTCCACCGGACTGGGCAGGAGCCCCGAGGCTGCTTCCACACAGTGGGGGCTGCTGCCGCCGGCACAGGAGCAGAGGGACTCCCCGGCCCAGAGGGCACCGGGAGGGCGGAGCACCGGTGGGTTGGCTCAGCACTCCAACAGCTCACCATGTGGTCTCCGGTGATCCACCCGTCCCTCCGCGCTCCGGGCCAGCCCAGACAAGCAGGATCTACTGGCCGGGAACATGGTCTCTCCTCTGCTTCCCTCCAGTGTTAACATCCCGAGAGCATGAGTTCCACTGCGAAAAGCACTGGGTGCCATGGTGCTAGAGGCGTTACAGTTCGGGGAAGGAGGGCTCTTGCACCCGGGCCTCCGAGCCTGTGGCACTTCGCCGGCTCCGTTCCGTCAGGCCGGTCTCCCACGGCAAGCAGCAGCCTGCTGGGGCGGGTCTACACGGCCAGGCTCTGAAGGCTTCAGTGCGTGCAGTCCCCCTTCATCATCACGGCCGCTCTCTCAAGGTGCTGCTAGAACTCTCCCAACCCATTCACACCCCAAAAGCCCAGGGCTTTATTCTAGATCCTTGAAGGGAGGGCCTTAACCCAGAAGGACAAAAGAAGACAAAGCAGCAGGGAGGCAGAGAGGCTGTTAAGAGCTGGTTTTTATTGTTCTCGTGTACGTGGCTGGGTGCAGAACTGCCCGGGTCACCCCCGGCCACCCCGGGCCCTGGCGGAGCCGGCAGCAGGGTGGCTCTGGAGACAGCAGCCCTCGGGGGGGCTCACGGGCTCCTGGCATGAAGCGCACATTCACAGCCAGACTTCACCGGGAGGGAGACTCGGTCCTTGCTGAAGGCACTTTAATCAGGGCGCACACCCAGGGCCAGAGCTCGCCTGCCTTCTGGTTACGCCGACGCAGCCAGACGCCGCTCTGCCGGCAGCTGGGTGAGGGGCCGGGGAGCGGGGCCGAGGGCCCGCTCACTGGTGGAACTTCTTGTTAGGGCTGTTAGCGTGGTCGATGAGCAGCCGGCACGGGGTGAACTGTTTTCCGTAGGCGGCCTCATACCTCCTGAGCCGGTCCACCACCTTCTGAGCACCGAACAGATCCACGAAGCGGAAGGGCCCTAAAAGGAGAAACAGGACCTGCTGCAGGAGACAGGACGAGCGCTCGGGCCGCACAAGCTGCCTGCCCAACCCGCAAGACCAACCTCCGAGACACGGGGGAAAGCCGAGCCCGAAGACCGCGCCGATGTCTCCCTCTGTGGGTGTGGCCAGGATCCCTTCCTGCAGGCACAGGACCGCCTCGTTCACAAATCTGGTCACCAGGCGGTACTGGATGTCTTCGTCGGAGGAGCTGCCAACAGGGGGAGACGCTCAGGGAGATGAAGTAGATGAGGCGTCCCGGGGAGGGACGCAGGAGCTGCGGCTGCAGAAGCGAATGGCGCTCCCAGGGCCAGCCAGTCCGCGGCTCGCCATGGTGCAGAGACGAGCCCGCGGGAGGCCAGCTCTGCTCCTGGAAAAGGTGGCTCAGAGCTCTTTGGCCTAAGTAGCCAGAGGCTGCCGCTACGCAGGGCTGGGCAGAGCAGACAGAATCTCCCGTCACCAGCAGCTGTCAGTTATGAAGGACAGAGAGGGCCCCGCGGGGTGCGAGGGCCCGGCGGGGTGCGAGGGCCCAGGATGCCGGGTTTTCTAGTCGCCCTCCAGACCTGCAGAGGGAAGGCTGGAGCAGGGGTCTTTCCAAGGCTCAGCCGTAGGGCTGACCTGATGCCGCGCAGAAAACGAGATGGCAGGTGGAAGGGCAAAGGGAGTCCGGTCAGTTAAGGGGACTCGCACAGGAAAGCTGGAGGAGGGCCGAGCAGCCCTGGGCTGAAGAGAAACAGGTTTCCGCACTATTAGCTACTGAACTTAACTCACACTTCAGACTTCGGGGGCACCTTCAGACTTGCTAAAATGCCATCCATGTCAGAATTCACATTCTTGTTCTTCACACCCTCCTGGTAGATGTAAAAGCCCTTCCCAGACTTGCGACCTAAAAGAAGCCAGAGAGGGGAGAATGACGTAATCTCAGAGCCCAGGCCTGCGGATTCTCTTCTCTCCTAGTCTGATGCACAGCTCCAGCCTCTCAACTGTATCCCTGAATGTGTCTGTCTAGCTCACCCTAGAAATTTTGCATTTGTCCGCAAAGCTGGCAAAGAAAGAAAAATGATCTTGTGTTTCTTGGGGCTTGCAAGTCTGTGGATGTGGGTGGGAAAGGGCACTTGGGTGAGCTTTCCTTCCAGCCATTATGCAACACCAGGGCCTAGTAGATGCCCCGGTCCTAGGGTTGCTTCTGCTGCCCCTTTGCCGAGACAGAAAGCCACCTCTGGCAGGCCTCAGCCACGTTCTCTGTGCTCAGAGGGGTCACCTCCTCGGCACAGGTGGCCAGACAGCACGGTAAAGCCTGGGGGCCGAGTCTGCTCCCGCAGGATCGCAGGTGTGAGAGGCCTTGGGCCAGAGGAACATGCCTGGCTTGCACACCCTGGGCAATGGCAGGGCCTCAGGCCAGGGTTGTCATGCAATCATTTAAAAAACTCCCCCTGACGTGGGCTCTGTGTTTAGCAAAGACTCTCGCCCACGGGCGTTCTGGAACTGTGTGTCTCAGGAAACTCTGCTCTCAGGGTGTTCGTTTTCTCTGAGGCTACTCACCCAGGAAGCCCCTGGACACCATCTGCTTCAGCAGTTCTACGCTCCCACCTCCAAACCGCTCCCCGAAGGCTTTGCCCAGATCTTCTGACACGTGTTTTGCTACATCCACACCCACTTCATCGACCAGTGTGGCAGCACCCACAGGAAAGCCAAAGCTTGTGGTGAGGGAATCCAGCTTCTTAGGCTCAACTCCTTCCTGAGTGGGAGGTAAGCAGGGACCTCAGAGGAGGAAGGCATTCCAGACCCTCCCCCAAGGGCTCCCCACGCCGGCCCTCTGGCACAGGGCCGGTCGGACACCTGCTTCTCTCCAGGGTGCCACCTGCCCGGGCCCAGGACTAGGGCCATCCCACTCAGGGAAAGCAAAGGGGGTTTGGGAGCCACCGGGGGAAAGTCCGGGCCTTCCCTAACCCACAGCACTTTAAGGCCTGAACAACGTCATTCAGAGGTGAACACACTATTCATTTCCTTCTTGTCTGCAATTCGGACCCTCAGCAGTGATGAGATTCCACGGCAGACGGGGCGAGGTTTCCCCACAGCCGGGAGCAGAGATCGCCCCCGGAGCCTGTGCCAAGCGGGCCTGTCTGTTCCAGGTGGTTCCCGCCTCTAAGGGAGGCAGACGCCGCCGCGCAGAGGAGCACTGTCAGGAGGCGTTTGGTCTTAGGGAGCAGGGAGGGGAGTGAGGGAGCAGAGCTCAAGTTCTGCCCACTGGAGGGCAGCAAAGGCCGTGATTTTCCACCACAGTGTGGAAGGATCGGGTACAAAAGGGCCTTCTTGGAGAAGAGCCTGGACTTAAATGTATTAGAAAGAAGCCTGTTCGTCTTAACAGTACCAGTGTGGAGGACTGGTTTAAGAAGTGGGAGACGCCTCCGACATTCCGCGAGCAGCACTGACCTGCAGGATTCTGAGGACTTCAGACATCATGGGTGCGAGACACCTGGTGGTGTAGAAGCCAGGTCCATCCTGCCAAGGGAGAGAACGTGAGCTCGCTGGCCCCTCTGCTGTAGGTATGACGCAAGGCCAAAAGAAGGTTCTCTTCCCCACGTGTCCTCTCAAATACAAGGCGATTTATATTCCCAAACAGAACTGTCAAAATTACATGGCAGGGGAAGCCACAGCCAAGGCAGCACGGCTTGAACCAAAGAGCACAGCAAAGGGTTTCACAGCCACCTGCAAGGTCTGGAAGGGCTGGGAGAACCTGCCACATCCCGGCCACTCCCCCTCAGACACTGACTCAGCAGCCCAGTCCACACTGCACACAACCAAGGGGAAATCCTACTAAAAGGTGACCTATTTGCCCCAGAATAGTCATAAGCCTAAAGGTATAAGGAATCTTAACAGATCTGCCGCTCTGTTATACAACTCCTTACTTTAACCACAATGATGACCTTCCCCTGCTTGAGCCCAACGGCTACGGCCGAAGCCATTGTGTCCTTAGACGTCTTGTCAGTAGTGATGATCTCTAGCAGCTGCATCTTGTCCACAGGAGAGAAGTAGTGCATGCCGATCACCTGCACGGGGAACACAAAGCCACCGGGTCTAAGTCCACGGGGAGGGAAGCGGACAGCACTCCTTGTTTTGGTAGGAAAGCAAGGGAGGTCATCTGAGTAGTTTGGCTCTGTGGTTCTTTCATAAAAAGCTCAGTATTCTCAGAGGGCTCACTGGAGTCTTCTTCCAGCTGCTTCTAGGGCAACATATCCTACTAACAATTAGTGCCAAAATCACAGCTAACAACCCAGTTAGACTCATCAGGGAAGAATGAATGAAGGTTCCACTCCCATTACTGACACTGATGGTTTAGAGGGCCCACTGTTTTTGAGATGGGGGAGGCAGAGGTAGGCAGAGGAACCCAGTAATATGCTGGACTGTCAGAGATGTATCTGCTTTTTACACACATGGGTCTCACTACCAGGATACTGGGTTTAAATAATAACAACATTCAGGGATGCCTGGCTCAGTTGGTTCAATGTCCAACTCCTGATTTTGGCTCAGGTTATGGTCTCGGGGTCATGAGATCAAGCCCTGTGTCGGGGTCTGCGCTCAACGGAGAGTTTGGGATTCTCTCTCTCCCTCTGTCCCTCTCCCCAATTCCCGCACTCTCTCTTTTTCAAATAAATTAATCTTAAAGTTATCAACATTCAAATGCACCCGAAGATTCATTAAACCAATGATTCTCAAAGTGAAGTAATGGGACCAGAAACATGAGCATCACCTGGAAAATTTTAGAACTACAAATTCTCCGGTCCACCCCAGACCCAGATCTACTGAATGAGAGGCTAGGGCCAGGGCCCAGTACTGTGTTTAAGAAGCCTTCCAGGTAATTCTGATATATGCTGAAGTTCAGAACCTCCTCCTCAAGTTAACTAGACAGTCCTCCCAACTGAACTGCTGTGGGAGAGAATGATTTAATCCTAAAACTGATAGTTTTGCTCCTCCTACTCTTGCGTTAGCTGTAAGATACAACTAATGATAACTACTACCATTTGCTGACTGCTGGCTACCCACTGTTCTTTAATGCCTGTGCCATTTATTCCCTACATTTAATCCATCACTCTGTGAACTAGTCAGTCTTATCTAGATGAGGGGAAAAGAGTCATCGGGAGGTTAAGACTGGGAGCTCAGGGTCCCTTAGTGAATGGCAGTGGGATTCCATCGCAGCTGGCCTGTTCCAAAGCCTGCCTACTCTCCATTACGTAATGCACAGGTCACTTAAATGTTCCATGAACTTACCAAACCTAAAGTTGCTTCTAAACCCTAAACTGTTCCTTAACTTGTGTCTAAACTATTTAAAAAAGACAGGACCTGATTCAGACTCAGTACTTGTGAGCGAAAGGAATTAGCCTTTATGACATATACTTAGACACAGTAAAATGCACAGAACTTGAAATGTTCATTTCGATGATTCTGACAACTGTACAAACACTCATGGAATCACTACCCCAGGCAAAATCTGTAGCAGTCAAGAAAGCTATGCCAAAGGTGACCAACTTGTCCTGGATAAGCAGATGGCTGGTCACCCTCCCTGTAGCCCTGTCACCTTAATTTTGTATAACACAGGAAAAGCAGGTGACGGAAACTATCCAAGGTCCCTGGAGGCCAGGACTACAAAGCAAGATGCTTTTTCCGCTCCACTGGGAAAATGGGAAGTTAACATCAAAGATTCTCCGTCACGGACTTGAATGCTGCCGTGGTGCTCCGATGAGGTGACACGGCCAGACTGTCTGCCTTTATAGTGTTCTTGTGTCTTTCCTCAGCATCACTCTTCTCCCTGTGACCGTTTCCTGACATCCCTGAACTTGCCTGTCAGGCCCCGCATCGCTTCCAATCCGAGGTGCACTAGGAAACAAGCTTACCCTGCATTCGTGAGCTATTAGAATAGGAACAAACAGACTTTTGTGTTTTCAATACATGCACCTGTCTGAACAATTTTGGCTGCTTACGAGTCTTCTATGTTTCCTTCCTCCTTCCGGCTGGCTCTGCTTAGCTGAGGCTAATTGCCATCCTCCAGGGAGGTGAGGTGTTTAATTTCTCTTCGAGTGATTTCACTTTCCCTGGGTGACTGGCAGACAGAAGCCCAAAGACACACTTCCAGGCATCATTCCAAACACTCACTGAAAGTGCTACCCTGGGTAGAAGTTCTAAGTGAACCTACAGGTGGACACACCTCACCACCCTGTCTGATCTATTCCTGGATGTGGAACTGGAACCAAGCCTGTCTTAGACTGTCACCAGTGTCTGCTCTGTAGCTGAAGTGATATTTTGGAGTATCCCCTCTTATTTTAAGGGCCTATCTCTATTTTTTAAAATTTAAAGATTTTATTTTTTTTAAGTAATCTCTACACCCAACATGGGGCTCAATCACAACCCTGAGACCATGAGTCACATGCTCTATTGACTGGGCCAGCCAGGTGACCCTTGGGCCTATCTTTAAATACCTAATTGTAAAAAAGGTCCATTTTATAGTCTGAACATAAAAAATAAGAGCTGTTAAGGATGCAAATCACCCGTTAAAGTATATTTTGGCTGTGCTTCACCCCGTATCTCACAGTGGTCACGGTGTAAGCTGCTCTGTGCCCAGTTTTGGGGAAAACATCATCACCCCTCCACCCTACAATCCACGCCAGGCCCTGCTCATGCTCTAAGCCTTTCTCAGGGAGCCCACGCAGGAGAAGATTTCAGGGTCTTCCCTCTGCTCAGATTTACCTTCTCAGGTCTTTTGCTGACAGCAGCTATTTCATTGATTGGGAGAGCGGATGTGTTACTGGCAAAGACACAGTGATCTGGAATCACCTGCGGGGGAAAAGCATTGAAGAATGTGTCCCGTAGGCCTGGGAGAAGACTGGAGCCCGGACAGAGCTAAAACTCGAAACCTGGGCCCGGCCCTGCTCCCCCCACAACCATGCAGACAGTAGATACTATCTGGTCGACATTTACAACCACCCAGCGCTTGTGTGATGGGAAGGGTGTCGGCCTTGTTCTCTTTCCCATTCAGCCGCCTTCTAGTTCTGGTTCAGTGTCCTAACCTGGCGACTGCATCTCGGCAGTTTGGTAAATGAGACCTCAGATAAATACTGAAAAGATAACCTTGAGTCAACTCTCGTTCATTTCAAGATTCAGCATGCATATCCGTCCCTCTTCTTGTTTGGAGCTGCTCTGGAATCTGAAAGTTGACAATCCCCTTACGCTTTACCTTTATAAGAACCGGCCACAGCATGCGTGCCCAGCTCGTTTTATACCGGGTGCTATTAGAAAACTGCACCACTGTAATTAATCTAGGCACACGAACCCTACTAACTGTTCTATCATCCTGGAGAACAGTCTCTAATGCAGAACGTCTCAGCATTCTGTTCGCGATCCCAAACTACTCATGTCTTTATTCAGCTGCGCGCACAAAGAACATGGAAGGCACACCTGTCAGATCTGTGCATACCGGGACAGGCAAAATCCTAACACGGAGATGGAGTCAAGGATCAAGATACACGCAACACCCTGAAAAGCTGAGTGTAAAGTGACAGCAATTGTAATGGGGACAAAGGTAGAATACCGCATTAAGATGTTTTTTAAAGGAAAACCAGGAAAAAACTAAAGAGGCTCCTGCTGGACAAAACCCGGCTCGGAGGCACCGGGGTGGCTCAGTGGGTTAAGCCTCTGCCTTCAACTCAGGTCATGATCCCAGGGTCCTGGGATCGAGCCCCGCATCGGGCTCTCTGCTCAGCCTGCTCTCCACCCCCCACCTCTGCCTGCCTCTCTGCCTACTAGTGATCTCTGTTAAATAAATAAAATCTTTAAAACAAAAACCAAAAAACACCTGGCTCGGCAGTCAGCTTGTGTAAAGGCCCCAGGATTTGAGCTCGTCAGAAGTGTGAACTGAGAGCAGAGCATGACTGCAAGGAAGTCAGGAGCCTCAAGCGGCAGGTCTGCGCGGTGGGGCGTCTCACACCGGTGAGGACATCGTGAAGAGCAGGCCGGTGTCTCCAAAGGCAGCTGGACAGCCGGCTCCAATTCCTCCCCTCCTGATTCACGTGGGGCTTTCCTGCCATCCAGACGCAGAGCCTAGTTCCGCCCTCCTGAATCTCGTGATTTGCCTTTACCAATGGAAAGCAGGAGCGACACTCTGAGCTCCAGACCTTAAGAAGCCCTGATTTTTTGTCCTTCTGGAAGCCGGAGGTCAACACTGTAGCGTCTGCTCAGAGTCTGCACTTCTCTTGATCTGATCCTTCTTTCTCTTTCCCCTGATCCCTAGTTTCCCCGCTGCTAGAACTAAGACACCCTTCTCCGTGCCGGGAGTCCCAAACCCAGATTTTCCAAATGCAAAGACCATCAGCTTGTCAGCTGGTCAATGGTGGTCTCAGCACGCTGCCTCTGTCTGCTTTTACTTCTCACCAGGATCTACCCGCCGCCGGCTCAGCAGCGCCCCCCAAGCCCTGGGAACACCACCTACCTCTCTGCGCCGCAATGCCACTCCACACAGATGGGATACAAATCCACGCGGCTCTTCTGAACGCTCCCCCCAGCTGAATCTATGTTACCCTGTGTCAAAAGATTTCCCAGGGCATGGATTCCGAAGCGGAGGCTGTCCCAAGCACAGCTGCTTGTCGGTAGTGTCTCTGCAGGCTGAGTGCGTGGCAGAGCAGGGCCCGCCCTCACACAGAGGCCTCTGTAAGAGTACGGCCACTGCTCAGGACACCGGGAGAGCTGCCGAGCCAGTGGCATTTCGTGTGTACCCTCAGGCTTCGGTTCTACCTCGTACTCATTCCTATATTTGTTCTCCTCTGGGCTCACTCTTTACACCATCCCTGACAGGCACTTGTTTTGCACACAGCATGCAGAGCACTCGCGATCAAGACGAAGGCACCATTTCCACAAAGGAAGCATCCGAAACCTGCCCGGGGAGAGAATTTCTCCCCTACGTCCTGTGCCGGCTAGACCTGCAGAAGTTTAGTTATGGCTTGTAGCTGACCCCGAGTGTCAAGACAGCTGGCTACACTCCAAGAGGTCATCTGTATGTTCAGTGACCCAACTCCCACAGAACGCTAACGAGCCTTGTGCTACTTGATTTTCTTACCTCAGGACTCAGATTTGACCTTTGTAACCTGTGTACTGTGCATGGGTTCACAGAAAAACTGACAGGTCTGGACATGAACAGCCCTATAAAAAGAACCATGAGTTTCCTTTTAAAAAACCTGTCTCTGTGTCCTCCACTGCTAGGCTATGATTGATTCAAGTACAACAGGCCTCCGACTTACCGCTTCCACTTCCTTTAGCACTCGGTGCTTAAGACTAAGGTCCTCAAAAACAGCTTCAATCACCATGTCAGCCTTTTCAAAACCCTGGTAATCGAGCTGCCCAGTCAAGTTGCTGAAAATGGAGTCCCTTTCAAACGATGTTAGAGCTTTCTTCTTCACTTTATCATTTAATCTAGAAAAAACACAGTCCGAGTCAGAAGGGAAGATAGGAAACTTAACATTTGTGGAGCATCCACGGGCTGGACAGACACTGTGCTGTGTTTTTCATCAGCTCTGCAAGGCAGTTCTGTCACTCTGCTCTGAGGGAAAAGAGTTGCTCAAACAGGCTCAGAGGGACATGTGGTCAAATGACAGGGTACCAGGCCAAAGGCAGGTTGGCCCCAAGCCCATGTTCTTTCTCCAGTGAGAGACTTCTATATGTGAAACTTACCTAAACTCTATCACTCATCAAGCATTTAAATTTGCCAAGAGGAGTAATCACAAATACTGGAATGGCAAGACAGAGAAGCAGCTCTGGTAACTCTCTACGTGTAATAGAGGAAACACCCAACACGTGTCCTAGACCACAGGGACGTGCACCTTATTACACACCATCCTGTTACTCTGTAACTGTAATCTTCTGGAAAAGAGAGAGTGAGCACTGTTTCTTATATTCTTAATCTACTTTCCAGTCAACATATATTAAGTAGCATATATATTGATTACATAAAATATTGATTCAAAGTTTCTTCCTGCCCATAGGGAGATAATAAAAAGGATTCCTGCTACTCAGACGTTTAACGGATTACTTTTCAGTGCCAAGAAAAACAGGCTCTCTTGGGTTATAATCTGACCACACTTTCAGAATGACTGACCTAGAATTTTCCTCTGAATGAAGAATGGAGCTAAATCTCATTCACTAATAAAAGAAAAATTAAAGCCACAAGGTAAGTTCAAAGTATTCAAAGTCTTAAAAGTCCAATCTCTTGGTTTCTGACAACGATGTCAGGAGTTAGCAAACCTGATGCTTGTCGGAGTTCAGAACATTATTAGTCTCTCTGAGGCCTAATGAAACTGTTACCAAGAGAGGATAGGAAACGTGTAGGCCACAAGTCAGCAGTGTGGTGAGGGGCAGTCGCCTGAGCCTGAGGCTTCTGAGGCACAAAGGGAAAGCTGGGCCACCTAAATCCAAAAGAGACAGGGGGTGGAACCCATTCTAGAGCAGCAATTTCCCATTTCAGTGACCGTATGAGAGGATGTTTGGGGGTGCTTACAGGCTAGTCTCAGGGCAGTGCTGTTAGCGAGTACAGGCCCTTTTTTTTTTCTTTTGGTCACGAATCTTTTACTCAACTCCATGCTACCTTACAATAATCTGCCAAAATGATTAAACCTGCCACATCTTGTATAGCATTACAGTAGCAACATTAAGAGCCTCCCTGCAGAAAAGAGGTCAAAATGGGCTGAAGTTACATAACCCATTTGAGAAACAACAACAAAAAAGCTCACTGAAGGTGCCTCAAAAAGCCTCTGCCTTCGGCTTGTGTCCTGATCCTAGCTACTGGGATCGAGCCCTGCACTGGGCTTCTCTGCTCAGTGGGCGGTCTGCTTCTCCCTCTGCCCCACCCCACCCCCGCTTGTGTTCTCTCTCTCTCTCTCAAATAAGTAAATAAATCTAAAACAAAGAAAAAACAAAACAAGAAAACCTCATTCAACTGGAAGTCACGTGTAGGACAGGCCACATGCAGCCAGCTTGTCCACTACACTGAAGCACAGACCTGAGCTGAAACCAGTTTCTAGTCTGGCTAAGCGGCTGCTCAGTTTCTCCCCCTCTGTAAAACAGGCAGCGTGTGGGAGGAGGGAAGGGGAAGGTGGGGAGGAGGGAGAGTAATATTCAGTTTTTATTAATTCAGAGGTAAGATGGAGACACAGTTCGTAAAGCTTCAGACATGGTGGAACCAAATCTGTTTCCTCCTTCTCTACAGTATCGCCAGCCAAGAAACAGAAGGCTCAAGAGTTTTGACCCCAGCCCCACCTTCAACATGCAGTTACGGCACATTTCCTCACATCCTCGTCTTCCCCAGGGTCGTGCTGTTTCAGTGTTCCATAACAGTATGACAGTGAGATGGAAACCATCAAAACTCACAAACATGAGAATTTCTAGTCCTGATACCAAAGCATAAAACAAATGGCATTTAAAAATATCTGATGGTTTTCTCTTCCGCAGACATTACAGATTCCAATGATGTTAATGGTTTCTAATATGCGCAATAAAATGAAGGTGAAGGAACTAGTGTCTCTAAAAATCAAAGGCAAGAGCTTAACTACGGAGCATCCAATACTCACCACATTCAGGAAAAAGGAATATGTAATGGCAAAAAACTAACAGCATTCTGCTGACAGAGGCAGACAGTGGGCTTACCCTTTGAACACCTGTTGCTGTCCTCGGCCCAGCCCAGCTAGTGTAGCATCTTTAAGTATGGTCCTCAGGCCCTTATCCACAGAGACCTGGGCAATGCCGGCTCCCATCAGCCCTGCACCAAGAATGGCTAGGTGCCTGGAAGGAAAGCACGAGTTACTTTTGGTAAACTAATCATTTCAGTAAAAGTGGGAGATCGCCCAAGTTATTCAATAAACCAATGAAAGTGAGCATAATAATAAGGTATTTTAAATAATATTTATCTGTAAAAATCTATACCTACCTATAGATTTTATCTATTAAAGAAATCTAAAGATTTTTATCTATAAATAAAGTTTTTAAAATCATTTATAATCTGTAAAAAATTTAAATAATTTTTATTTTTAAAAATTGACTTTCAGGGGTGCCTGGGTGGCTCAGTGGGTTGAGCCTCTGCCTTCAGCTTGGGTCATGATCCCAGGGTCCTGGGATCGAACCCCGCATCAGGCTCTCTGCTCGGTGGGGAGCCTGCTTCCCCCTCTTTCTCTGCCTGCCTCTCTGCCTACTTATGATCTCTGTCAAATAAACAAAATCTTAAAAGAAAAACGGACTTTCAAATTTATTTATTTATTTATTTATTTATTTATTTATTGGAGAGGGAAAGCAAGAGAGAGCATGCAAGCACTTGAACAGTGTGGGGGTGAGGAATCTCAGCCAGGTTCCACGTCTAGTGCAGAGTCCAACACCCGAATGAATAAAATCATTAAAAAAAAAAAAAGAGCAAACAGATAAGGAATTTAAATGATTATCGAAGGTGAGGGGAAGAGCCTAGAGACAGAAGCGGAGGAAGCAGAGGCATTACTGGCAGTAGGGAAAGCAGGAGAAAGGATACCTTTTCTTCATTTCGTTAAGGTGTTTTCTTTTTGTTTTTAAGTAATCTTACACCTAACATGGAGCTCAAGCTCGACCCTGAGATCAAGAGTCATGTGCTCTTCCTACTGAGGCAGCCAGGCTCCAGTTCTTCAAGTTTCCTTAGTCAATCTTCCGTTCAACCTATCCTGCCTTGGGTACCCTATAGTTAATTCATCGCCTTTTTCCTCAACTTATTTCCCAAGTGAGGTCAACTCTTAGATCACCCTTATCTGTAAATGCTTACTTAAGGATATCTCATTCAAGCTTGGAAGTATTCTGTTACAGTTTTCTTCTGTATTGTGGCTGTTTTGGGGGGAGGGGAGGAGAATTTTCACAAGCTTAAGTACTTTGTCCTCATTTTCTTATTTCTTATATGAGACTCATGTGGATGTTGCCTGTCTTTTTTATGTATTTGGTATAATAACACCCTACCCAAATGGCATTATATGCTAGCTGCCTATGACAGGAAGAGGTATATGCAGACAGGAGTAGGAGTCTGGAGTGGCTCATTAGGTTCTGTAATTTAAGAGGCCTCTCTTCAGCTGCAAAGGTAGTCTCTTTAACTGATGCCATTTTTTTCATAGATGGCGGGACGGGGGTAAAGGGGTAGGCTGGCGGAGAGGTAGAAGTTGGTGTGTGTTTTATAGTTTTGTAATTTTGCAGGATCCAGTATTCTTCTCTCTTGCTTTTCTTTTTTTTTTTTTTTAAGATTTTATTTATTTAACAGAGATCACAAGTAGGCAGAGAGGCAGGCAGAGAGAGAGAGAGAGGAGGAAGCAGGCTCCCTGCTGAGCAGAGAGCCCGATGCTCAGCAGGAGCTCGATCCCAGGATGCTGGGATCATGACTTGAGCCGAGGGCAGAGGCTTTAAAGCACTGAGCCACCCAGGTGCCCCCTCTTGCTTCCTTTTCTTTCCTGTTGTGATAAAGTTTCCCTCTTACATAATTAGAAGTTGGCAGCATATTCGTCTTCTATTTGTGCCACGCGTGGGGAAAGGGTGGCGGTGCTGTCCTTGTTTATGTCTGATTATCGTAGAATGTGTGCAGAGACGGCGACTCAGGGGCCATCTGTTCTACTGCAGCATGAAGTGGTTAACCTCACCCATCGAATGTGACATACTGCCACGCTGATGGAACAAATGCCACGGACAGGTACTGACCGCCCTGATCAACATGCGTCCTGGAGAAGCAGTTACGGTCACAGTTCATATTCTATTTGGAAATTAGCCCTCTGGCCTTGCATCGTATCTGCCTCACCCAAATTTCTTACCGGTTTTACTTCTATTTTGGATTGTAATTTCATTAAAGATGAAGGGTGGAGAAGGCAGTAATATCAGCTGCTCTGAAAGCCCTCACAGTACTTCATACAGAGCAGTGTGACTCAACCTTGGCGTTACCGACATTCTGGATTAGATTACTGTAATTCTTACACGGACTATAGGATGTTTAGCAGCACCCCTGATCTGCTCACTAGATGCCAGAGGCACCTGTGACAACCAAAAATGCTTCCAGACATCATCAAATGATCCTTCGGGGGTAACATGGCCCAGGCTGAGAACCACTGAGCTAGAAGGTGAATTCAGGGGCATTATGAAATTAAAATGCTGAAGAGCTTTTGGGCGGCACAGCACTGAAAGGCTTGCTGCAAAGAATGACATGAAACAGGCAAGTAGAACCTTAAGTGTTTAGGTTGTAAGCTAGAAGGACAAGCTTTAACAGTCAGAATGAGACTTTTATTTTTCTTAGGGAGGAAGAAGTGTGAGTCCCCAGAGATGGTTTCTCAAGTCACAGGGAGACACAAGATCATTAAACAGTGCATAGTGTGTGTGTTTGGTGTGGGAACAGGGGCTATAAGCCAGATTTCTAGGGGACATCAATAGCAGACAAGAAAGCCTCTGTAGGAGCCATTAGACAGGCCCGGAGAAAACTCAGCACAGGCGGAACTTTGAAAGCCAGTAAGTTCTTAGTAGGAAAAGGGATCTAAGGTGCTCAGGAGAGAAGAGGTACATGGAGGCAAGACGGAAGGTATGAATTTAGCTCTGTAGTGAAACCTACAAGAGCTCCCTAGGTGGAGTTTAACTTACTTTGCTTCCTTCTGTGGTGCTCCAAATTTATTCTTCTTACACAGGACCTGACCATGATAAAGTCCCACCAAGGCCTTTGATTCTCTGGTCATTGCAAGCTCTCCAAATTTCTGAAAAGTAAAGGAGAACAAGAAAAGGTAGAACTTCAGAGTCTCAGTGATGGGGGTTCCTTTGGTCGGGTGTCCCTACAGAGCAGAGGTAACACACGCGGAGCCCTGGGTGCTCCGGGGGCCCGGGGTGTCTTCTCACCGGCAGTACGTTTGCACTACTGCTTTGGAAAGGGTCTGGACACATCTGAGCTCTCGGATACTCTGCACCAGAGGTGGCGGTAACCAACCTTCTTCGTGGAACTAGAGTGTCAGGGCCAAAATGGACCCTTCACAGTCCTCTGAACCAACTCTCATTTTGAAGACTGGGAAGAGGAAGCCCAGAGAAATTAAGTCACCATGCCACGTCAAGTGGCAGAAACGGAACTCGCACCAGTGGGTAGGGCTCCCAACTCTGGATCCCTTTCGCTAAAGCAGGCTGCCTGCAGGACACCTGCCACTTTGAAAACTACCCTAATGCTTACAGAGGGCATTGCTTAAGAACCCGAGATTTAGAGTCTGGGTTTGACAGACCGGATTTGAATCCTGGCTCTGCCATTTCCCAGTTGTGAAGCGTAAGCAACCCAGTACAAGAAAGGTTTTCTTTTGAACCTGTCCCTGAGCTCTTGAGACACCTTCTGTCTTATTATCAACGAACAGTCATTCTTCAATGATTGCTTAAAACTTAAAAACAACCCAAACCTCTTAAATCCACAATACCACTAACTTGTTGGAAAAGTGGGAAGAGGTGAGGCTGGTTCATAGGCCCCTCTGTGTCCTTTAAGTGGCTACACAACATTTCCTTCCACTCTCTGATTCAGCAAAGAGAGGCTGGCCTTCAATGTCTTAAAGCTAGGCACTAACAAGTAAGAAACCTATTTTTCTATCAATATATTGATTTTATTACAACAAAATCAGCCCAGCCCAACTCCGGAACATAAACATCCCAGTGATTCATTTTGAAAGGATTAGAGCTCTGGCCCTTCTCTTCCTAGTTAAGCCCTCATTACTGAGCACAAGTTCAAACAGCTGAGACCACTAAGGTGTTCTTAACAGCCACTCACTGAGATTAACCCTAAGAAATTGTAATCACTGAAGAAAAACATTTCAGGTAGGCTTTGGGTACTTTTTCTTTATTTAGCTTTACACAGGGTTTTAGATCTTGAGTTTCTTGAATCTATAGTAACAAATGGAAAGGAAGAACTTTACCTGAGATTCAGAGAGATAGCCAGCTTCGTTCCCTTGCTCAATTCCAGTCTTTACTACCTAAAAAACACATAAAGCACTTGTTCATTATTGCAAGGGACTGGCCAGAGAGATGTGGACTAACACAGTAAAACCACTAGTTTGTGAATCTTTTTTTTAGAAGACTATTTGACAGAGAGAGAGAGAGAGACAGCGAGAGAAGGAACACAAGCAGAGGGAGAGGGAGAAGCTGGCTTCCTGCTGAGCAGGGAGCTGGATGTGGGGCTCGATCCCAGCATGACCTGAGCCAAAGGCAGACGCTTGACAACTGAGGTACCGAGGCGCCCCTAGTTCATCAGTCTTCAAAGATTAAGTCAAAAGTCTGGAAGTGAAATAAGAAAGGTGACAGGACCGAGTGGCTGCTTCCTTGAAGAGGCTCATGCTTTCCAGCTTCTGGAACCGTGCTCAAAATGCCTGCCCTACCTGGTACTACTTTGTCTTCATCTATTCTCTACCACTTTCCAGAGCTCAGGTCAAATTCTATGAGGCTCTTCCTCATTTCTCTGCCTTACAGTGACTGTTCCCTCCTCTGTACATTTAGCAATCTTCCTCTGTCCCAATTACCTGGCAGTCTCATGCTGGCGTCTAGTAGCCCTTACACTGCAGTCACCTGTCTCACCACAGATACACGGCGAATCTCCCCGGCCCACACTGGGAGATGGGTGAGGGAAGGGACTCATGCGTCCTATTTTATGCATTTTGCTGTCTTTTCCTCTAAAGACATTTGCTGGCTGATTTATTCTCCATATTCGAAGTCTTAGATTATATGCTCTCTTGATCTTAGACTTTCCAGACTGAAGACTGAAGACTTTCTAAGTTTCAAAGTCTACCTTTAGACGGAAGTTCTTAACCCTGTGATCATTGTACTTGTCCTCCCTGATCTTTTTCAGAACTTCACTACACCTTTTTTTATAATTCTGACAATGGGGAAGTCAAGGAGACATTTTCGGTACTGGCAATGGTTTCAAACTAATTTGTTTCAACTACCTCTTAACTAATGCCCAATATTTTACTGGTTTTGTTATACTGATGTAACTTTTTTCCTGGCTTGTAACTGGTACTTTTAAACTCATTATGCCCGGCACTCATTATTCTTAAAATATCATTTTATAAGCCATCACAGCTTGCTTTATTTTTAGTGAGTACTGTAACAGAATTAAAAACTTTAGTATAGGGGAGCCTGGGTGGCTCAGTGGGTTAAGCCTCTGCCTTCAGCTCAGGTCATGATTTCAGGGTCCTGGAATCGAGCCCCACATCGGGCTCTCTGCTCAGCAGGGAGCCTGCTTTCCCCGCTCTCTGCCTGCCTCTCTGTCTACCTGTGATCTCTGTCAAATAAATAAATAAAATCTTAAAAAACAAACAAACCCAAAAAACTTCAGTAGCAGCAGATACAGTTCTGAACGGCAATAAAGAATACTGCTCTACACAAAGGGAGGAAACATGAGGAATGTGGGACTATGGGGTGGAGACTCACATCGATTATTTTCAGAGGTGCAGGATAGAGGCCTTTAGTCTGTTTTCGTACTTTTTCTTCCACCTTTTTGTAAAGCTGTTGCCTGACAAATGGAATACTCATGGCATATGATATCAATTCTGTAAAAGAAAACGCTTTTAGGTACTTACTGGAAAAAGCGTAGCCTCCCTTATTAGTTTGTTCTATAAACGCCATAAAAAGGCAGTAATTGTAGCTATCTGAAAGAACTTTACTTTGATATACAAAATCCAAATTGCAACCCAAGGCACTTCTATACACCTGGTTTAATTAGCTGATAAATGCTAAGCATTATGCTATTCCACTTTCATACTAATGCTTCAAATTTTCCAAGATAAAAAGTTAAAAATAAATGGCTGTAACCAACCAGTGTAAGGCTTAGGACTTGATCACAGAGCAGAGCTGTTGTACTCCTTCAGAATGACTCTATGCTTGGTGTAAATAATGCATTTACCTCTTCCCCACTTCTTATTTCACAGCAAATAAAATTAAACTCTCTGGAGAGAACCTCTGCCTTTGTTCTTTAATAATGACACTCACTGTCTACTAATCCCTTGTCTCTCTTTATAGAGATTTTCTTATCAGACAGTCCTTTGGCAAAAGTAACTGCAACTTCTTCTAAGTATTCAATTGTCCGCTCCTCTGGAGGTTTTAATCCTGGTCCTGTAAAAATGAACAGAATAGACTGGAGTGTAAATCACTTTCAGCATAGCTTTCCATGCAGGACTAGAAACTGGTAGGTGGCAAGTCATCAACTACGGACTCAAAGAAGGGAAGTAACGCTGAGCAAAGGTGCAACAATGTGCTCTAGATAGAAACAAGGTCTTAGGTCCTAGCAGTCTGGCTTCTATTTCTGAGTAGGATGTAGAATATCTCATGAGGCCTGTATTCTTACTGCAAAACTGTGGACAAAAACGAACAACTTGTAAAAATTACACATTTGTAGAGCTATGAGAGAGTGGTGGAAGCACCTAGGACCCTATGAACTAAAATTCCAGAGCAGGAAGAGCCTGTCTCAGGTGACCTGAGGATTGCTGGGTATTTTCTTTCCTGAGGATATGTGTTGCTTCTGGGCATGGGCTAAAGATTAGACTACTTGGCTTAAGCAGAAGGATGCTCCTCTGGGCAAGTGAAATGATCAGTTTTTGGAGGTCAAAGACAATAGATCAGAAGCTAGAAGAAACCAAATGCAAAGCTAGTCTTCCTCATGGAATAGTCATGAAATTCTAGGGTGGTGTAGAGGGTTAGAAGGGCTAGGTCAAAAAGCTAGAGGGCAATCCCTCACACTGTCATAACAATCAGCACATAAAGTACTTCTACAGAGAAAGGAGCATGCCAAGAATATGCAACTCACCTTCTGCTCTAATGAGAGCATCTGCTCTTATTTAACTTGCTTGAGGCAAGAAACTAAAGAGCTAGGCTCCAAAAATCCAAAGCTATTTTTACAGGGTCATGAGAGCCTCTAGGAGGCTCTCAATCAAAAGCCTGGAAGGAAGTGGTGGCTGGGGGTTGAAAAGGCAATTTTGTACCATCTTGTGGTATGTAGGAAACAAAATAGTGGGAGGAGGCTGAAGAAAACAGGTAACCACTTTCTCCCTTAAGATGTGTGCTCTCTTGGGAAAGTATGTGAAAGAGGATGAGAAAGAACTGAGCCCCAAACTGCTGAGGGGTGAGAGTGCACAGGGCCCACAGAAGTCACAATGTGCCCGTAGGGAGGCCAATGCCACTGGAATTTGTGAAGCAGAATCCTGGAGGGTACTTGCTCCGTGAAAGGAGAGCTCCAGAGATCTACAGAGGGTCCCCTGGCTGAGTACTGTTCTGCACATGCACAAGATGAAACTACCTGAGGCTTCTTTTCATAAAAGCATGCTTCATAAAAGCAGCAAGGAAAAAATGGCCTAAAGACAAGAGGCAAACTGACTGTTAGAAAGAGATGCAGAAATGAAGACAGAATTAGCAGATACAATGTTAGAAAGGCTATTATAAATTCATGTCATATGTTCAAGAAGGTAGAGGGAAACAGAAACATAATGAAGAGGAACTGAATACATAAAAGAGAATCAAATGTTACTTCTAGATATGAAAAAAAAAAAATTGACACCTGAAATGAAAAATACACAGGATTGGATTAATAGCAGATTATATAGCAAAGAAGAAAAGATCAGGAAACTTGTATTCGTGGCAACAGAAAATACAGACTGAAAAACTGCTTCATTTTGGGACAATATCAAGTAATCTAACATATGTGAAGTTGGAGCCCCAGAAAAGGAGGTGGGGGAGATGGGAAAATATTGGAAGAAATGGCCAGAAAGTTTCTAATTTTTATAAAAACTGTCAGTCCACTATCCAAGAAGCTCAATGAATCCCATGCCCAGTGAACATAAAAAAAAAAACCAAGAGTAACCACAACAAACCAAGGCATGTCATAAACAAAGAGCAGCTGGGGAGGTGGGGGATAAGGAGGAAGACACATTACATACAGAAGAACAAAGATAAAAATGAGAACAGACTATCTATCAGACATTATGTAAGCCACAACATGATGTAGACATCTATAAAGTACCAAAAGAAAATATGAGAAACCTGGAATTTGATAGCCATCAAGAGTATCTCTGGGGGCTCCTGGGTGGCTCAGTGGGTTAAAGCCTCTGCCTTTCGCTCAGGTCATGATCTCAGGGTCCTGGGATCCAGCCCCGAGTTGGGTTCTCTGCTCAGCAGGAAGCCTGCTTCCCTTCCTCTCTCTTTGCCTGCCTCTCTCCCTACTTGTGATCTCTGTCTGTCAAATAAATAAATAAAATCTTAAAAAAAAAAAAAAGAATATCTCTGAAAAATGAAATGGAAATGAAGACTTTGTCAAACAAATCAAAAGGTCAGAGATTTAACTGCCAGCAGACCTATGCTACAGAATATGTCAGTGAAATTCTTCAAGTTAGAGGAAAATCAAACCAGATGGGAACTTGCCAGCTATACAAAGAGAGAGTACCCCAAATGGCAAATATGTGGGTAAATTTAAAAGATGCCTTTGTCATTTTAATCTCTTTGAAAGATAACAGTTTAAAACAAAAATAGCAATATGCTGAGGAATGTTGAATATATTTAGAAATAAAATGTTTAATAACAATAGCACAAAAAATGGGAAAAATGAAACTAGTTGATTCTTGAACAATGCAGGGGTTAGAGACATTGATCCCATTTGCAGCAGAAAATCTATGCGTAACTTTTGACTCCCCCAAAACTTAACTACTAATAGCGTACTACTGCCCAGAAGCCTTACCAATAACACAGCTGATTAGCACATATTTTGTATATGTATTATGTACCGTATCCTTATAATAAAGTAAGCTAGGGGAAAAAAATGTTATTAAGCAAATAAGGAGCAGCACCTGGATGGCTCAGTAAGTTAAGCTTCTGTGTCGTGCTCAGGTCATGATCCCAGAGTCCTGGGATCAAGCCCCAAGTTGGGCTCCCTGATTGGCCTGCCCTCTCCCTTTGCCCCTTTCCCCTGCTTGTGCGCATTCTCTCTCTGTCTCTCTCAAATAAATAAAAAAATATTTATTTTTTATTATTTTTAAATTTTTATTTATTTTTTTAAAAAGGATTTTATTTGAGAGAGAGAGAGTGTGTGTGAAAGAGGTAACGCAAGCAAGGGGAGTGTGAGAAGGAGAAGCAGGCTTCCTGCTGAGTAAGGAGCCTGATGTGGGGCTCAATCCCAAGACCCTAGGATCATGCCCTGAGCCGAAGACAGACGCTTAACTGATTGAGCCACCCAGGCACCCCAAATAAAATCTTAAGAAAAGAAAAATACATTTACATTTACAGTACTGTATAAAAATGTGTATAAGTGGACCTGCACAGTTCAAACCTATGTTGTGCAAAGGTCTACTCTTTTAAGATTCTTACCCTATATGTAAAATGATACATCATTTCCAGATAGATCATATATTAAAGATGTACAATTTAAACCTCAGAGCAACCATTAAAAGGGTAAAGCAAAGTAAAAGCCCAACAGTGAGGGTAAGAAATGACTAATCCAAAGGAAAGGAGGAAGAAAAAAGGAACAAAGAACAGGGAGGACAAATAGAAAATAAGCAGCATTAAATGATGCCGCAATGCTAGAAATGTGCTGGTGAGCAGCAGAGGAAGTTAATGAAAGGTTTAAGGAAATTTCAATGTTAACATCGATTTATCATGTTGGACCTGCTCAGCCAATTTGGAAGGGCTTGAGGACATATCTTTTACCATGACTCTAAGAAATCAATTTGGGAGAAGAGGCCTGGGATCCTTGAAGGGCTCTGTCATTGTTCTTCTCTGTAGGTCAGAAACTACAGTGGGAACCACTACCATCAACTGGGATCCCTAAATACAATGGAGATACTGGGATCCTACGGTGGCCAAGGTCAAAGAGCAACACTTCACCACCAAAGGCAAACTAAGTATGGTTATCATAATGGACAGTGGAACCAAAGAAGTAATCAGAATAGTCTGACTTACAGAGGCCTACAGCACTGGCTAGTTGACCAAAGTGTCCCTAGAAAAGAAACAGATCGTAAGTCTATTATATTTTTACTTGATCTGTGTAAGTGAAAGAATTCTAGTTCTAGTAAACAGAATAATCTAAATCACCAAAGACAGTCGCGGCACCTCAGTCAACTCCTAGAAATAAGCCAGTTTACAGACTCAGAACCTCCTGCAATCAGGGGAGGCTGCATCTCCATAAGGAGATTACACTGTTAATCTTTCTCCCAGCCTCCCCCAAAGGGACGCTACAAGGTCATTCACCTTGGGGAAAGGGAAATACAATAATCAGACTTTTGGGGGGATTACTAGACACTGGCTCTGAACGGACACTAATTTCAGAAGACCCAAAATATCTCTGTGGTCCACCAGTCAGAGTTGGGGCTTATGTGGTCAAGTAATTCATGGAGTTATAGTTCAGTTCTATCTTAGAGTGGGCCTACTGGGTCCCTGAACCCATCCTGTGGTTATTTCTGGAATGCGTAATTTGAATACTCATACTCAGCAACTAGCAATCTCCCTTTATTAGCTCCCTGACCTGTGGAGTGAGAGCTATTAAAATGGGAAGGGACAAATGTAAGCCATTAGAACAGCCTCTACTCAGAAGAACAGTGAACCAAGTAATACTGCATTCCCGGATAGACTGCAGAGATTAGTGCCACCAGCAAGGATTTGAAAGATGGTGATTTCCACTCATTCAACTTGCCTGCTGTGGCTTGTACATAAAATAAATGGACCTTTGTAGAACAACAGTGGATTTAAATTTAAACTTAATCAGGTAGTAAGTGCAACTGCTGCTGGTGTGCCAGATGTGGTTTCATTGCTTGAACAAATTAACACATCTTTTTCCTGCTATGCATATACTGATCTAGAAAATGCTTTTTTCCTCAATAGCTCTTGGTAAGGACTACCTGAAGCAGTTTGCTTTCACCTGGCAATGTCTGCAATATATTATTACTGTCTTAACCCTAGAGGTATATCAACTCTCCAGCCAAATGTCATAATTTAGTCCACAGGGACCTTGATTGTCTTTCCCTTCTACAAGATACCATGCTGGTTCATTACACTGATGATATTATGCTGAAGTTGTTACATCTGGCCCCTCCTGCCAAAGAAAAACAGGCACAAGCATAGTGGGCCTCTCGGGA